TTTACAAAACACAAACGCGCGCAGCGTGGATATAACTGAAAATTTTTATAGCTGAAAATTTTAAATTGGTTTGTAATTTAACTATTTTATGGAATATGTCTATTTTAATTTTTAGGGCATCCAGAACCTATCTCCTTCTTCTTCTTTCTTATCTCCAGAACCTATAAAATTGATCTATTGATTTCTTCTGAGATATCGGTATTGTGATGGTAAATCTATTTTTCTGTTTATGCTGTTATATTCATTGGAAACGAGAGATTCTAAGAGTAACCGTTGAAATTTGTTCTTAATGTTTTTGTAGTGGCATTTCGTTTGTGTTATGTTAAATTGGTGACCGGTCTGTGCAATATGTTGATAGATCATTGAACGTTGGTCTTTTGTTAACCTTTAATCTTTTGTTGACACAACAAGGTGATGGTCAGGAGGAGTAGGGTCCACGTTGCTGTACCAAGGCTTCTAGGACGCTACTTAGGGCATTGAGGTACTGGTCATCGTAGGAACTGCTGGTGGGTGACTGGTTATTTGCTCCATTGACCCCGAGGGGTGATAGGGGTGCCATGTCTTACAACCATCAGGGTAACATTGGTCCTGGTTGACCTCACTAGAGCTCCTTGATAGAATTGAGGTGTATCTGCATTTCAGCTATCGGCTGGAAGAAAAGCGAGTTGCTGGTTCACCGCTACTGGTTCTGTAGCGACATTTGTCCTGTCATCCGAGAGATTTTCTCCATCATCGGCTGGACCTACAGTCCTGGATCTTTCCAGTTGATCTCGAGGACCACACCATCACCATCTCTTCAGTGACTAAACACCCAATCTACGTATTATTCGCAGATCGCTAAATGCATGGTGTCGCTGGAGACCCGCTGGTGATTGTCCACCAAACTCTGCAGCGGTGGTAGAGACGCCATATTTATTGTACATGGTATCATGCATATATATAATTATTTATTTAATAGAGCATATTGTGCACTCTTTTGCATGTAATGACAAGATGTCATTAAAATTATTTTAATTGTCAAATTGTCTGTTTAAATAGGATAAGAAATTCAACAGCCCTAACAACTATGGCATTAATAAATTTTGAAATAAGATTGTCTTTGTGGTTCAAATTTCAGATTATCATTCCAATATCATATTGAAAGGTTTATTAAGCATTATATTCTATTTCACCAAAGCATCAGCATCGAATACTGATATTTCTTCTCATTAATTCATAACTGTAATTGTACTAATGTCATTATGTCATTCCTAGGACAAATCGAAGTGTGTTGGAATCATCCGTGTGGGAAATATAAGTGAAATCTTCAACTAAGTAGATTATCTATTAACGAAGTAACGAATGTTCAGTAGGTAAAATCTCTAATCATAATTGAATATAAAATCTTAAGAATTAAAAAATCTCTATCCACCCAAAATAAGATATCTGGGTGAATAAACATGGCTCCTATAATCTAATTGTTATTGTAAACGCCGTTTAATCGCAATACAGAATCTGGGGAGTTCATTAGACTGTAGCCTATTAATGTTATTGCATTTGCTCTAACTTAATTTAAGACCTTATCTTTTTTTTTTTTAATGTCCTCTTCGGACGAAGCTAACAAAAAATGAGGATAGATAGGAGTAAAAAAGCCGTCTACCTCTAATCTTGTTTTAACAGATTCAAATTTGATAAAAATGGGCGGTTTTTTAAACGGTATCTTGTAGTGGAAGGTAGATTTCCTCCTATCTTGTATCACGTATAATTTCTACAAGCAAATTCTTATTGTAACAGATTCTGTTCTTGATTGAAATGAAAGATGTTGTTAACATCATGATTAACTTTTTTTTTTAATGCTTATCTCTAGTACATCTGCTACAGGGCATGATGATCATGGTGAGTAGAAATAGGCGACTGATTTTACTGTAAGTGCACCACATGTCTACACATGTGAAAAGCAGTTCGACTTTACATTTACAAATGTGCCAGAGCCCCGTTTGGTTCAGTGATTTATTTGATTTAAGCCCCGTTTGGTTGCTTACACTCGCTGGTGGGGTTGGACTTTTGCAAGAATCGGGGGCCATTGGAACTTTTTTTTTTATTAAGAAAAAAGTGCCCAATGCGAGAATTGAACCCGAGTCATAGCGGTCGAAAACCAACGGTTTAGACCATCCTTCCACCGACCCCCTATAAACGTTTGTAAATTTCCTTCAGTTTTCGATATAAAAATAGGAAAGAGTGACCATTTATGGCCAAATAGTTTGAATCAAAAAACGACCCATTACATATGTTTATATATAAAAAAGGGTGTACCTGGATCTATGAGGATTCTATAGTGTTAAGCATGTTTTTGTTGCTTATTCCTCAAATCGTTTAAACGATTTCCATTAGGTTCCATTGTCTCAGCTTTTCTATTATAGTTCTGGGTTTTCCCAGAGGTCTTTTTTGGAGAATTTGATACAATTCAATAGATGTTCATGACTGGCTGGTTGGGAATCGTATTTGGGGTATTTCGAGAATGTTTTGATTTTTCCATTAAATTTCCATTAAACCCTCCCAAAATCCTCTCCTACAACCTCAAAGTGGTAAGAAAGTATATGAGTGTTTGAACTGTAGAACGCCACATGTCTGCATATGTATTGATGGGTAGAAAATCATGGTAAATGAAAGCCAACATGTGAGGGTTTGAACTTTAAGACGTCACATAATTAAACATGTAGTGCTAGATGATAATCATGGTAGATGGAAGGAAGTGTATGAATGTTTGAACTGTAGAACACTACATGTCTGCACATGTAGTGCTGTATCGATTAAATGATAAGAAGAAGGTAGAGTTTGTCCATACCAGATTAAGCTACAAAACTTGTAGATAAATTCAATTTTGTTCTTTCAAGTTGGCACGGCCAAGTTTGTACAGTTACCAGTTGGGTTAACTTGGAATCGGTTTGGATTGTTTTTTTTTTTACTTGTCCTTTTAGTCTAAATTAGACAAGATCTTGGAGGTCGTGCTCGTAAAGAAGGTCAAGAATTCTTCTTGGTTCTCTGTACAGGGATCTTTTGTCCTTTCCAATGCAATTTAGTATATGTTGGGGAGTGGCCTCTTCGGTTTTGCACCTAGTGCACATGGGGAAGCTTTTGCTCCCTCTTTATAGACTAGAGGGCGCAGGTGACCAGATTTCCATCTGGCCAACTGTGTCGATTCCCTTCTGTTTGGATTGTGTACCTGTTAAAAAAATAACTCGACTCTAAACAAATCTATTAATAAGTTTAAAAAATCCATTATTTCATGAATCTTTTAAAGTTTATTACTATTATTTCTTTTTTTGAAAATTTCCATTAATTATAATGCAAATGCTAATAGCTAATGTAATGATGTTTTAGTTAAAAATGCTTATGTAAAATTTTCTGCATTATTACTGTATATACCAATTTATAGAAAAAAAAATGGTTATCCTGCAAGAACTATGGGTGATGGAAAACTTCTGATTTCATTTTTGAATTCAGCATGAAAAGTTACATTAGAATCAACATTAGGTTTTCTCCGGTTAAAAAAAAAAGGTTTTTTTGTAGACCTCTGTTATTATAATGTATTAATTTTATTCACCAAAAATACACCTAATCAAAATTAATATTGAATAAAATGTATATAATTGTATTTAGAATAGAAAATAGGAATGATTTTGATGAATATATAAGTGAAAAAGAGGAAGCTGTAAGGATCAAAAGTAAAATTAACAATTCGGCTTTTTCTCTTCACTGTTCGAATCGTAAAATTTTGGACGTGAAGCCAATGATTGAATGCTTTAAAATCTAAAAGATCAATAATGGCTTGATGTTGACATATCAAGAAAACCGTTTAAAGTGTTTTTTACGTTTTCTTTTAAGAAGATAAAACAAAGATGCATTCACTCTACATGTTACACAAGCCTTAAGACGAAAAGGGATCTATTGAAAGAGGAGAAGGATGTAAGAAGGATGGAGTGCACTGACAAAAAGGTCAGATGGAAAGAAAGTGTCTTGGAAGGAGCCAAGACAAACAGCTTGACAAAAACGTCTTGATTGATTAGTTCCGAAACATGGTATTCCACTCAAGCTAATTATGCAGAGGATCTGTAATCAACTAATATGTAGAAAGAATCTTAGCATGGCGATTGTAAATGAAAACTAATTGTTCACTTATTGCTGTAAAAGTACATTTAACTGTATTCGTGGCAACACATACTGCCGAAAGTTCAGGAAAAAAAACTTTAAATCATCATAGAAATATATCTTTCTTTTTATGATGATCACAACAATGATATTATAATGAACAATCATCACACTGATATGTATTTTGAAAATCGTTCAAACCATAAAAAAAATCTTTAATTATAAAAGGCATATTGGATCAAAATATCATTTATTTTACCAATATTTCAGTTGGCTGAACGCCAACCTTTATCAAGGTGTTATAACATTTTAATGTGTGTCAACAACAAACTCAGCTCCACATAACGTCAATAGAATTAATTTTTTAAAATATTTTCTTATATTCAATGGGGAGAAATTAATTTTGTTGACGTTATGTAGCGCTGAGTTTGTTGTTGACACACATCAATATGTTATAATACACCTAGATAAAGGTTGGCGTTCAGCCAACTGAAATATTGGTAAAATAAATTATATTTTGATCCAATATATGCCTTTTTAATTAACTGATATGTATATTCCTGGTCTTGATAAGAACAACAACATTGTTTTAATGAACAATCTAATACCTATATTCAGGATTTAATGAGCACAATAACAATAGGTATGTGTTAAAGTGAATAGTGAAACACACAGATATGTATTATATATTATATATAATACACTGCGGCCTGTGATTGCAAAACGACACTTGAAGATACACCGCATGTGTTTCTTTTCAATGAAAAATCAAAATTTTATTTCAAGGTGAAATATTGACTATTTCTAATATTTTTGGATGAGGTATGAAAGGGTGAATTATGAAGAGTAAAGATGAACGGAAAAATAAAAGTGTCCAGGGATGGGAAAGTGGACATGGCATCTGCCCGGTAAGCGGAACATTGTGGGTTCGATTCCCATCCCTGGACACTTTTATTTTTCCGTTCATCATTACTCTTCATAATTCACACTTTCATACCTCATCCAAAAAGGTTAGAAATAGTCAATATTTCACCTTGAAATAAAATTTTGATTTTTCATTGAAAAGAAACTCATGCGGTGTAACTTCAAGTGTCGTTTTACACAGATATGTATATTCCGGGTTATAATGAGCATAACAAAGATGTTACAGTAAACAATTGTGTTATATGATTTAGCAGTTTTAAACAGTACAACAATGATGGTATAGTGAACAAAGAGAATATAGAATGAATTTGTTCTCTTCTGCTGAAAAGATTCAATAAATGATACCTAGTTAAGGGAGAAAAGAGAAATAGACCTTATTTATAGTAAAGATTGAACAAATAAACCATGCAGCTATCCAGGAAAATTTTATTTTCACTATGAAGAATCTGTATACTTTCTCTTCAAAATATTAGTTTTCTATTATATCATCAATGGTTCTAGAAATAATACAATTTTCATTTAAGAATACGCATTCGAAATTCAAATTTAAACTAAAGGTAACGTTATAAATAATGATATAAATTTATTTTCTAATAAAATGTATAAGAAACAAAAATCAGATAGAAAGGTGTTATTAATTCAAACAGAATGAAGAGAAAAATTGAGTAAACTACCTGTACCTAGAGAAGAAACCCATCAGAAGCCAAGAAGGGAATGCTTGTGACCAAAAGAGCTCAAGATGTCGGTGGAAAGGACCCAGGGGGGTCGACTCAGTCCGGAAACTGGTTGAAGGAAGCCACCTCGCGGAGTTTCCAGTCAAGTTGATAACAGAATTTTCTGACAGGAGCGTAACTTCTTGGAATGCCATTTCGTAGAATGTCTAAGTTTCAGCTTCTGTGAGCGAAAATTTCCTTCAAGTAAACCACGAAGACTAACTCTAATTGTGATTCACTAGCGCGCCATCTTTTATGAAAATTAGAAACTCCCATTAATTTATCCATTGCAGTAAGGACAGTAGAAATTGTTTAATTTCAAAAAGAATCATACGCGTCTAAAATAGTTTGAATTTTCTTAGCTATAATTATATAATACTGCATTAGCGCGAGTCATTTGTTATCAAAATTCGAAACTATTATAGACGTGTATGATTCTTTTTAAGCCCTTACTAATAAGGGCAGTAGACACAGTCAACAAAGGTTAGCTAGCCAAAAGTTGTTGTTGTTTCTTATCCCATTGTGTAAATATTACACGAATTCCATGATCTCATGGAATGAGGTTGAGGGGTGCAGCTTTCATTGATCATGACACCATGATCCAGGCACACTTTGGTGAAAGTCTGACTGTAGTTTGAGGCTGTTCCTAGCATGGAAATCTTTGCTACCGACTCTAACATGAGTACAGACACAACTGCTCAGTATTCCTGGAGTGGGACCATTGCTGAGGTCCATCAACCGGGTCAGTTGAACTCAGGATTTTTAAAGGGGGAGTGTCCCTCCTAATAAGGGCAGTAGAAATTGTTTATTTTTAAAAAAGAATCATACGCGTCTATAATAGTTTCGAATTTTGATAACTATGATTGTAAGAAAACATAGTTCTGAAGATGAGTTGTTGGTTAGAAGTTGATTCAGAGAAAAACACAGCCACATCAACCTATAGTTCAACTCCCGACGTTTCAGTAACTTCCTGTTATTCTCTTAAAGGGAATGAATTCTCCTGAAATCCCCCAGAAAAGCCCTTCTTCAGATAAACTGTTTTAGTTGGTTCGGGATTTCCCGAAAGCTTCCATTGTTGTTGTTGTTGTCGTGTCCAAAGAAGAGTCTCAGATGTCTCCATGCATCTCCATCACAGCAGCAGCAATATCCACTATCTTTGGTATGTAAAGCTGCTGTTCTGGGTACATGTCAATTTTCTGCAAGGCTGCGGCCATTGCTGGACATGAGAATATGTGAGTAGGTGTTAGTTCCACACCAGGACAGTTGTTGCATTCTTTATAAGTTCTTGTGCCATCTGGATGTATTGTCATTCCTTTATAGTGTTTTGTTCTAAGTCTTGTTATAGTTTTTTGACAGTTTTCTCTCAGAGTTTATTTCACATATTTGATCTTTTCTTATTTTTTGTTTGATTATCTTGTATTTTGCCAAAGAATCAGCGTCAAATACTGTCATTTGTTCTTTCCTTTAACCTAGTAAATATAAAACAAGGCTCTGTCACATTTGTAAATGCAAAGAGTCGAACTGCTTTTCACATGTGTAGACATGTGGTGTACTTACAGTAAAAGCAGTCATCTAATTCTACCCACTATGATTATCACGGCCTTTACCATGTGTACTAAGGGATAAGCAAAAAAAAAAAGTAAAGGTAAATATAAATATTTTCGGGGTCTTATGATTTTTTTTTGTAATTTGTTGAAATCCGAAATCTTATAATAATAAAAGATGTTTGTTATTGATTGAGCCGATTCCGCTGAGAGGATGAATCTCTATGAAGAATTTTATTGTAATTGTTTCCATCTCGTCTGCTCTTTTTTAACGAGCGCGCAGCGTGTAATAAACTGGAGTCTATCACGTGATCATGTTCATTTCCTGCATCGGTCAAGGATATTGATTTAACTATGGAAAAATACAGATTGTTTTATCTAAAGTCCCTGGTTATATTCCGGGTTTCGACAATTATTTGAGGGGTCGGTGGAAGGGTGGTCTAAACCGTTGGTTTTCAACTACTATGACCCGGGATCAAATCCCGCATTGGGCACTTTTTTCTAATTAAAAATGAAAATGCTCCAATAATGGCCCCTGATTATTGTAAAAGTCCAACCCCACCAGTGAGTGCAAGTAACCAAACGGGGTTGTCTGGTACATTTGTAAGTGTAAAGTCGAAGTTTTGGATCCATTATCTGTGTTACGCCTATTGTCTGTGCTGTTTTCCAGTATTTGTGGAAAGTTAATACATTGGGTTTTACTTTTTGTTACTTTTGCTATTATAACAACAAAAAGCCTTTATTAAGGACAATCGTCAAATACAGGATTCTCCAAAATGGGTAAACAGTAAACATAGCACAGTTATCTAAAGAAAGTGGAGATTAAGATCGACCTTTCTTCAAGTTGGATGCATTATCTGTGTTGCGCCTATTGTCTGTGCTGTTTTCAAGAATTTTTGGAAAGCTAATGCATTGGGTTTTACTTTTCATTACTTTTGTCTAATGACAAAAATCCTTTATTAAGGACAATCGTCTCATACAGGATTCTCCCAGATACAGAAGTAAACATAACAGATATCTACACAAAGTTGGGATTGACATTGACCTTTCTTCAAGTTGGATCCATCATCTGTGTTACGCTTATTGTGTTTATCAGAATTTGTGGATAGCTAATGATTGTAAAACGACATTTGAAAACTATCCCGCATGAGTTTATTTTCAACGAAAAATCAAAATTTATTTCAAGAAGAAATAACGATTATTTCTAACCTTAGAGATGAGGTATGAAAGGATGAATTGTGAAGAGCAATGACAAACGGAAAAATAAAAGTGTCCAGGGATGGAAATCGAAACCACCAGTGTTCCGCTTACCGGGCAGATGCCATGTCAACTAGGCAATGATTGGGTTTCACTTTTTACTAATATTGTCATTAGAACTATAATGTATAATAATCATGGGGGTAAAAGAACGAATTTAGGGTGTTTCAAGAAAGTGAGACAAGAGCTGTCACGGTCGATAACTTTGGGCGAGCAATCCCTCAAATTTGGTCTAATTGCGTCTGTGCCCTGTAATAAGGGAGCCAGACCGCTCCACACCCGATGATGAAAAGTCCTAATTGATTAGCCCATGGCTGCACCCCGCCCAGAACTGGGTGTTGGCTAATTAGAAAGCTGAGTAAACACCACACCCATACCGCGGGAGGTGGCAAAGTAGACGCCATAATGGAAACATGCTCAACTCTTACTTCTCACCCAACACCTAATCTAACTTTCTTTTATACATCAGGTTAATGTCAATGCCCTCGCAACAAACAGATAAAGAAAATTTTAACAATTAAATGAGGCCTATGATTGTAGAATACCATTTGAAAATTATTAAGCGGAATACTGTGGGTTCGATGCCCATCCCTGGACACTTTTTCCGTTTATCATTACTCTTCACAATTCATCTTTTCATACTTCATTATTATTATTATATATATATATTATTTAATGACAAAGGCAGACGTATTCTACTTCACCCAGTCATGGTGGTTGTCAAACAGACACCATCAAGGGTCACAACTTGATACCCTAATGTGATTGAGTGGAGATAAAAAAGAAGAAGAAGAAGAAGAAGACAATTCATCTTTTCATACTTCATCTCTAATGTTAGAAATAATCATTTCTCCTTGAAATGGATTTCGATTTTTCGTTCAAAAGAAACACATGCGGGATATTTTCAAATGTCGTTCTACAAATAGATAAGTTATTTACCCATTTATCTCCTTGTAAAGGCATGATTGATCAGGAAAGACTTGATATTCTGTATGAAAAGAGTTAGTACAATTTCACCTTTATACCATTTTCCAATAAAGTTAAACGTTTACCATTATTTATCTGAATGAAAGTTTCCATTAAGGATCTTCAAAACAAGTTGACGTGGAATTATGAAGTTGACTTTCCTATTAAACCCATATCTATTCGAATGGTTGGCCTGTCCACAACTTTTATAAAGCAGTAAGCAGGAAAATATAATTTAGAGTCATCGTGATTGATCATTATGGGGATATCGTTGCAAGCTGGCAATGAAAGTAGAATCTGTATAACTGGTGTTTCAATAAAAGCTTTATGAGTAAAATAATAATAAACTTTGTCCGAAATATAATACAGTTTTAAGTATCTACATTTTCCGAAATTCTACCAGTTCTTCCAAAGTGTCCCTACCCTGTAGACTAACAAGACATGAACCCTGCTAGACTGTACATCTTTGTCTTTAGATTTGTTGCAATGGCGTGCATTTGATGATGACTCGAACATACACTCATAGAAAACTTAAGGAAGTGAA